CCTCTCTCTGATTCTCTGCTGGTCTCTATTGAAACAAAGTTGGGCACAGATTGGTTACAAGGAAGTCCATTGCTTGGAAACCTGTTCATAAACTGTTTTACAAATATGGTCAGAAATAACATTTTCTGACTGTTGAAGGAAGCAAAATTTCACTTCTAAACATGTTATAATTAATTGGAATAGCAGGGTTGTGTCATCTGCATAATACAGATTGTTAATAGATCTTCCACCAATCCTGATGCCACAATTCTTCTCATAGAGCCCAGCCTCCTGGATAATCTGCTCTGCATACAAGTTGAAAAGGTATGGAGACAGGACACATCCCTGGCGTACACTCTTCCCAATTTTGAACCATGCAGTGTTGCCCTGCTCTGTTCTGACTACTGCCTCTTGGTCCAAGTATAGGTTTCACATTAGCATGATTAAATGATCTGGGATTCCCATTCTTCCCAGAGTCAGCACAGTTTGTTATGATCTACACAGTCAAACACCTTTGCATAGTCAATGAAACACAGATAGACATTCTTCTGGTATTCCCTGCTTTCAGCTAAGATCCATCTAACATCAGCTACAAGATCCGTAGTACCATGACCCCTTCTAAACCCAGCCTGGACTTCTGGCAATTCTCTGCTGATGTGCTGTTCCAGTCGTTTTTGGATAATCTTCAGTAGAATCTTGCTTGCATTCAGTATGGACTGAGGCTCAATGTCAAGAAGACAAAGATTCTCACCACTTGACCAATTGGTAGCATCAGGATGGATGGCAAAGAAATTGAGATTATTCACAGCTTCAGTTTGCTTGGCTCCACGGTCAACACTCTTGGCACCAGAAGTCAGGAAATCAAAAAACGTATTGCGATGGGAAAGTCTGCTGTTAGGGACCTCTCTAAAGTACTCAAAAGCAACGGTGCCTCTCTGGAGACTAAGGTGTGCCTGATACAGGCCATGGTCTTTGCAGTCACTTGTTATGCATCAGAGAGTTGGACAATGACTAGGGAGGACAGAAAGAGAATTGATGCCTTTGAGCTGTGGTGCTGGAGAAGAGTATTGAGTGTACCATTCACTGCCAAGAAAACAAATAGATTCATCCTGGAGAGGATTAAACCAAGCAACTCCTTGGAGGCAAGGATTCTGGGGCTTTGTCTGACATACTTTGGGCATGTTGCAAGGAGGGACAGGTCCTTGGAGAGGGACATCATGCTTGGGAGGGTGGAGGGATGGCGCAAGAGGGGAAGATCCTCTATGAGATGGATTGATTCAGTGACTGGGGTAATCGGGATGGGTGTGTCAGAGGCAATGTGATTGGCACAGGATAGAGCAGGGTTTAGGGCTGTGGTACATAGGGTCGCGATGAGTCACAAATGACTTAACAGCACATAACAACAACAACAATATATACATGCTATGCTTGAATTTTTTTCCACTTAATTTTCATCTTTGAACATTGTATGTGTGCATGTTATATATATGAGTGTACAATAAGGAGTCGGGGCGGGGGGGAAGAGATGTTAAACAATCCTTTCATTCCAGATTGGTCCCTAGCATCCACTTTATCATTGATCTACTCCTAAACTCTGTGATGTTCAGGGATTTGGTGCACTAAACCTATAATAGGGTCTTGTCTCTTTCATGAGTACTCAGGGCATCCCGAGGTTACTCCACAGTTCAGGCCAGAACCAATACTGTAGACCAGCCTAAAATGTCCCAGTCTATCTTGTTAATGTTTAAACCTGCCCTTGTTGGAAACAAGGAAAACAGCTCTAACTTACTCTTTTCCCCACCCTATTGCAGATGGTTTTTGATTCTCCTGAGAAGAATGAGCGTTGGCCTCCAGACCTATTAAAGCGAACATCTCTCCTATGGAGACAAACACCTGCTTGTGAAGACCTGCAGTTAAAGGGCAAATAGCCAGCAACCAGCAGCAGGTAGGGAATGTCCAGAGGCTATGGAGGCAGCAAAGGGACCTATTGCTTCATAAAATGAGATGGTGGAACATGCTGGCTAAGAATTATAGGACTTCAGTGTTTAGCTACAGCTTTGCTATTTTCTTTAAGTTTTGTTTGTTTAGAAGTGTTCTTTACCTTTTGAATTGATAGAGTAGAAAGAGTAGGATAAGTGGTTTCTTTAAACTATGGATATAAGATGGGAATTTTATTTTCTGTAATTTGACAAATTTTGAGCACCTCCTATGTGCCAAGCTGTGCATTTATTACTGAGCATGCAGTGCATCAAGGCAGGGCTCTTACCTTGGATGAGTTTTCCTTTCTGTTGGTTTTGTATTGGCTTAGTCTTTACATGTGATAATATGAGCTGTTACTGTATGTGTGTTCTGGAAGCCTCAGAGGAGTTGTCAAGATTCATTGATATTATTTGATTTATTCAGTCATGGTTTGTGGAATTGCTCATTCTGTTTCAGGGACTGTGCTGGGTTCTGGGGTCACAAAGAACACCAGGAGAAATCCATCCTTAGCATTAGAATCAGACAAGAGAAGCAAGTGCTGCAAAGCCCTTGAATTTCCGAGACGCAAGAACAGTCCTGAAGGGGAGGTGAAGTGGTGGGTAGAGCAGAAAGGTTCTCTTGTCTGAGTGGGCAGACAAAGGGAGAGAAAACTATTGCTTAAGAAATCAGTCTGATGTCATTGGAAATTCAAAGTTTGATCTGTTCCCCCAAGTATTTATTGAGAGAAGCTTGCTACTCCTTTCCATTGTTGGGCTGTTTATATCATCAGCTCACCTTGAGAGAGGATTTCTTGAAGGTTCTAAATGTGTATAATCAGAAATTCCCATGAGCTGGTGGACTTGGATTTTATAGAAAGTGAGGTTGAGGGCCCTTGTGAGCCAAATGTAAGACAAAAAAGTGTGCTCTGTGGTCATAATGGGGTTGTTGTTGTTGTTGACTACTATTGGGTCTAAACCAATAGCTGACCCTCCAGTGGGTTTTCAGCGACAGTAAATCACATGGGAGATTTCCCATCTTTCTCCTGCGGAGCAGCTGGTGGATTTGAATTACGTGCCTTCAGGATTGCAGCACAAGTGTGAAATGTTGAGGCTCTTTGAAGGAATTCTCCTTTCCTGGGTTACACAGCCTTGGAGAATTAGGTTCTGATAAGAAGCTTGGATGCTCTGCCAAATGAAAGTGCCTTCTAAACCCCAGCTCCTGAGTAACAAATATCCAGGCCCTCTCATCTAGTTTCCTTTCACCTGTACAGGTGAAAGTCAAGTCCTAACTACTGCTTCCTAGTCACACAACTATAAACTTGCATCGACAAGGCATCCCTTTCCTCAGCTAGCTATAAGTAGTGCCAACAAATCTTCTCTGACTTTCTGGTCTGTGCTAAATCTCGTAAATTTCATCAATTGAGAAAGGGCCTCCTGAGTGACAAAATGGTGCACACAGGTAGTGGTTTTTCTAAAGGACACTGACACTGTTTGAGTTCAAAGTACTGCTGTCTTTCACGCAGTTACACAATGAATTCTGAGAAAACAAACTAGGTCTTTACCCAGGTATAAAAAAACAAGTCTCCATTTTCCAGAAATGTTAGTAATTCTCTATGTGTTGTAGCAGAAAGGACACAGGTTCTGGAATCAAGTACCCTTGAATTTGGACCCCACTGAAGTAATTTACTCAGCTCTGGTGTCCTGGGCATGCACGCATTTTTCCTCTAAAAAGCCTCGTGTTGCTAGTCTATAGAAATGGAGATTTATACAAGCTCCCTCTGAACGGCTCAGGAGATCTTCACAGGAGACACCTCCTTAGAGTTAGGTGTCTCAGTGGCTCTAGTTATGATGACATTTTAGTGAATTGAAGCAATTTGTTTCCTTGATTGCTCATATGCTGGCTCTCTTCACCCTGATGAACCACCTTCAGCCATAAGGTGAGTCAACATCCTGTCTCAGTGTTCTTGCAGACTGTTTTATAACACGGTATGTTAAGCTAACCTTTGTTCTTCTCACACTGAATTTTAACATCAAAACTCTTAGAGAAGTGCATCATAAATCTATAGCATCATCTATGGCAAGAGGTCTCTTTCTGCCTCTCATTCTATCTTTCCCAAGCTTGCATTCATTTACTTAACAGTGCAAGATCTTTGTTGTTGTTGTTGTTGTGGACAATCAAGTCAGAATGGACCCTCAGCTGACCCTCCAGTGAGTTTGAGAGACAGTAAATCACACAGGAGGAGATTGCTCATCATTCTCCTGTAGGTCAGTTGGTGGATTAAAACCACATACCTTTTTACTCACAAGGCAATCCCTTACCACTAAGCCACCAGAGCAAGGTCTTTAGAACTGAAAATAGAGAAAACGGAAAATGTTATTCCTGGTCTTAAGAGCTCTGAGTATTGTTAGGGAACTAGACCAAGCCAGTGAAAAAATTAAGAATCAGAGTATGGAAAGGAATGGTGCAAAAATGAACACATGTTTTTTATGTGACTTAAAGAAGATGGGTTCTTCTTCTTTTTTTTTAATTTATTTTGATTTTATATTGGCTTGCATACGTAATTTGTATACATTATGTTTCATTCATGTACATTGTGTTTCACACATTCCTTCACACACATTGTGTCTTATACCTAGAGGATTTGGGTTAACAGTGCAACTGGCTACACACCACACCATCGGAGTTCCCAGCTAGGATATAATCTGAGCCATTTGATTCCCAAATTTCATTCCTTAGCACAGTCTACTTCCCAAGTGAAAAAAGTGCATTGAGACTCTTCTTAAAGAACTCTTCTACACTCCTCTGCAGTCAAAGCCTAAGTGGAAGTTAATCTATTTTTTCATTTTTTTTTTTTTCAATGATTGGCTTAAAGTAGCTACTAGAAGTCATGAAGGCATAGTGTTCTGGTCTCTTCATGTGGAATCCACAGGCTGGCTCATCACTCAGCCTTATGTCAGTCACCCCTTTTGTGGTTGATTTCCATCACTTTATATTCTTCTCTCACTATCTTTTAGGCCATTTCCTGCTTTGAACAGAGTGGCTTTCTGAACACGTCTTTCATTATGATTCACGTCATCCTGAGGAAGAAGCTCAGCTACTGTGTCCTGGCCTTTTTTCTGTTTGCGATCATCTGCGTGTGGAAGGAAAGGAGGAAAGGGAGTTACTATGAAGACATTAAATTGGAAACAGAGGAATTCCAGGTGGTGACAAGTGGAGAGAGACTGGCCAAGGGGTCTGGGTCACAGTCATCTGTCAGCACCCAGGACAAGAACAGCCAGACCGTCGGCAGTGCCAGGAGCTCAGCCAAGGCCAAGGTGGAGGCTTCCTTCCAGGTGTGGAACAAGGACAGCTCTTCCAAAAACCTCCCCTCCAGACTGCAGAGTATCCGGAGAAATTACCTGAACATGAATAAATACAAAGTTTCCTATAAGGGGCCAGGGCCTGGTGTCAAGATGAGTGCAGAGGCCCTGCGCTGCCACCTCCGGGACCGCGTGAATGTATCCATGGTGGAGCCCACGGATTTTCCCTTCAACACCTCTGAATGGGAGGGCTTCCTGCCCAAGGAGAACTTTAGGACCAAGGCTGGGCCATGGGGCCGGTGTGCTGTTGTCTCTTCAGCTGGATCTCTGAAGTCTTCCCAGCTTGGCCAAGAAATAGGTGAGTTCCAGGTGTTAAGGTGTATATCCTTAGTAGTTCACTTGGAGTGTTGTTGTTTTATGTGTTATAGAATCATAACCAACTCATAGCAGACCCTCCAGTGGGTTTTCAGAGGCAGTAAATCACATGAGAGGAGATTGCCCATCCTTCTCCCATGGAGCATCAGGTGGATTCAAACCACATGCCTTTAGATTGGCAGTGCAGCTCCTCACCCCTAAGTTACTAGAGCTCCCTAAGAGGGCATACTGGAGATATGAATGGGGTATGAACTAAATGAACAGGGTCAAAATGTAGAGCAGGCACAAATAAGTGACTTTCACTTGTCTTTGATGGAGTCAAAGGTGTTACCAGGGCAGCTGATAATATGGAGATCTAGAATCCAGGCCCTTGAAAACTTTCCTTTGAAAAGAGAGCTCTGTGCTGACAATAAGCAAAATCTACAATTTTATTTTTTAAAAAATGATGGAAGCTTAGATCCCTGCTTTATCTTCAGGTCTTTACCTTCTATAATTTTACCTGCTTAATTGAAGACAAACAAAAAAACAACCCAACAAAGCAAACCCCATACCAACAAATCAAAAATCCACTGCTGCGGAATTGTGATAGAGCAGAATTGATCCAAACCTAGCATTTCCAAAGCTGTAGCCCTTGGTGGAATCAGTCTGCCACATCCTTGCTGGTAGATTTACACTGTCAACCAGCCTTTCAGTTAGCAATTGGGCATGTTAAGGACTATGCCACCAATTGCCTCTTTTCTTTTTATTTTTAGTGAAAAAAAATCAAAATTTTATTTTATGTTGGTTTGCTTACAAAATTCATATACATTGTGTTTCACACTATCCTTCATTCACATTGGGTTTCATACAACCATTCACATTCATTATATTTTAGAAAATTAATCAACAAGCAATTGTGTCTTTCAGGAGTTCCTGAATAGAACTGTTAATGTGCTGGACTGCTAATTGAAATGCGGGAGGTTTAAATCTACCTAGACGTGAATAAGGGAGCGCTGGTGGCTTACTGGTTAGGAATTGTACTGCCAGTGCAAAGGTACATGGTTCAAATCCACCAGCTGCTCCATGGGATAAAGATGATGGGCAGTTTCTTGCAATGCAATTTACAGCCTTTGAATACCCACTGGAATGTCCGCTATGGGTTGATTCTGGCTCGATAATACTCAACAAGAGATGGGAATAAAGACTTTGTGACCTATTTATGAAAAAGAAAGTATCGGGGGAGAAAAGTGCAACAATGAATGAATGGAAATCCAAAGTCTCTGTAAATTTTCATTGAAATTAATAATAAACTTTTTTTTAAAAAAGAAAGTATCATAAAAAACCCATGGGAAAAAGTTGTGTGTTTCTGACACACATGAATTAGAATGGACTTGATGGCAACTAGTCGATTGTCTCTTTTGTCCTGGTTAATCTACAGCTTTTGTCCTTGATATTGTGCTGCCAACCCTAAGGCACATGGTTTGAATCCCCCAGCAGCACTCCAGCAGAAAGATGGGCAGTCTCCTTCTGTGCCATTTACTGCCTCTGAAAATCTGGTGGAGAGTTAGCTGAGTTGGTTCCAACTTGATGGAACGTAGCCACAACTCTCTTCAGCTATTGTCCTTGAAAATAATAGGAACAGTAATTCTTAATTGTGAAGATGTAAACCAGATTTAAGGAGTTTGCAATTAATAAAATCATGTGCTTAGCTATTTGTGTTTTGGATTTATATAAGGTGCATATGTGTGTGAATTCATTAATTTTTTTTCCCCCCTGGGCAAGAGTCCGCAGTTTTAAGTGGACTCTCAGAAGAGTCTTTGACCCAAAGAAAGTAAGAAGACTCACTCATCAAAACCTATAAATTTACTTTTCTTGCAACTCTTTGAGGCTAATAATGATAGATCCCACCCATACTTGTAAACGTTTACAGTAGAGAGTGCTGGGTTGGCTCCAGGCTCCTGGCTTGCCTTACTCTTACACAATGTGGTCTTCATTCTTGTGTGGTGGATCAGGCTCTGGAAGGGGCAGATGATGTCATTTGTCTCATTTTTTATTGCCTTCATGTGACTGCCAGGAAAAACCAAGCACAAGCTCTTAAGAAAAGGGAACTTGACTCAAACTGGAGCTCCTACAACTGAAAGAAGTGATGAAATAGCATTTTCTACCTTTACAAATTGGTAGCCGTTACTAGTAAATACCACCGAGATGATCAACTTCACTCCAACTTCTCCTTTTGCCTCCTTGGCTTCCTTTGAACTTAATTTTCTAGAAACTTAATATGATTTGTCGATAATGGAACTTAATGTGAGTTGTCTATTTGTCCAAAATTCTTTCTCTCTTCTCCATATTTGCTCCATAATATGTGTGTAGAATATCCTAGTTCTTCTATCATTCATCTGTTCTTCCATCATTGTTCTGTCAGGGCTGTGGTGGTTGCATGGTACTGTGAAGCTAGTAGCTATGTAAACAGTATTTCATATACCAGCAGACTCCCCTGCGGAAGGAAGGTTTCAGTGTGAATTCCAGACTAAGATAGCTAGGAAGAAGGATCTGGCAATCTGTTTCTGAAAATTAGTCAGTGTGATATTTCTGGATCACAAAAGAACATTGTACAACTTCCTTGCTTTGGACATGCCATCACAAAGGATCCATCTCTGGAAGATGACATCATATTTGATGAAGTAGAGGGTCAGAGAGGGAGAGGGAGTCACTGGTGTTGATAAATAGATTGGCACAGTCTCTGCTACAATGGAGTCATACATGCCAGCATTTATAAAGTTGAGATGACATGGAGCAAGATAGCCTTTCATTCTTTGTGCATAAAATCACCATAAGTCGGATTCAACTTAGTGGCCACTGGCTAGCAGAAGATTTACACTTAAAGTCCAAACAAACAAAAAGACAACTTGTGAAAGAGCAGTGAGTAAGGCTAGAGGAGAACCAGGCATGTGCAGACAAAGCAAGATGGAGTTGGGGAAATGGTAGCCAGTGGTGTTAAAGTATTTAGAGTAGAGCAAGTGCTTGGGCAGAGTGATAGTTGTTATTGTTGTTGATTGCCATCGTGTCGAGCACGACTCATAGTGACCCTATGAAGGCAAGGTGTGAAGCCTTTCTATAACTATTGTTATCTATATCTAGTGTTATTTTATTTTGGAGGCACATTCTTCTGAATTGAACAGCACTCCTCTTCAGTTTGCTCTACTGAGGTAATCTGAAGTTGCTGTGATGCTGAACTTCCTGCCACTGGGGGTGTCAAATACCATAATGGCTTCCCATGGTGAACAGTGTTTGGGGGAGCTCCCAGTTTAAGACAGGTTTGGGCAGAGTAAAAGTGAGAAAACACTCTTAAACTGATTAGCTTGAAGAATGTAATCATTCCTATCAGAGGTCAGCAAACTTATCTAAAGACCCGATGACAAAATATTTTCAGTTTTGAGGGTCATATAATGTCTACAACAATGGAATCTTCCAATAAAACGTTATTTACTGAAGCTCAAGTCCATAATCTCTGGGGACATCAAGGTCCCATATGGTGTAACATAGTCTACAAAATGTTCTGCATCTTGTTTTGGCAAGTACTGACTGGGATCTTAAACATTTTTTTTAGTAGCTCTTTGAGGTGTAACTGTTGGATTACTCCCTTACCTGGAGCAGAGAAGGTCGAAGAAAATAAAGATGTGTAGAAGCATTAGACCAGAGGACTACAGGAGCCTGCAAACTCCAGCCTCCACAGCACTGAGACCTGAAAAACTAGAATGGTTGGCTATCACTGCCAGTGCTCTGAAACAGATTCAGAAAGAGGTGTTGGATAGGATGGGATAAAAATGTGGAACAAAAATAAAAATAATAATTTTTAAAAAAATCAAGTTGACTAGTCTAATAGAGACTGATGGACTACAGTGGACCGTGGTGGTGGTGGTGGTAGTGGTATGTACAATTGAGTTGCTGTGGACTCATAGCTGACCCTCCAGCAGTTTTTCAGAGGCTGTAAATCACATGGGAGGAGATGGCCCATCTTTCTCCCATGGAGCAGCTGGTAGATTCATACCACATCCCTTTGGGATGGTAATGCAACTCCTTACCACTAAGCCAACAGAGCTCATTAGTCACCTTTTAAGCTAGTGTGACTAAGATTTTAGCCCTGTGCTTTCCCCATGTTGGCCTTGCTATGTGTTTCACTTTAGAGGCACCCCCTGAATCTTTAGTCTTATCTAAAAGAGGTTTACTCATTGTCTCTATTTCATACTCTGTTTGTGCCACACTATTGATCACAATGTGTCAATACATTAGATAATATGCTATTTGTATCTCCAATGTACTCATGCGGAATCTGTACATATACCAAGAGCTAGTCATTCAGACAGAGCAAAGGGATTCTGTTTGGTTTAAAATGAGAAAAGATGTGTGCCATGGGTGCATCTTCTCACCATATCTATTTAATCCGTATGCTGAGCAAATAATCCAATAAACTAGACTATATGAAGAAAAAATTGTGCCATAAGGATTAGAGCAAGATTTTTAACAGCCTCCACTATTTAGATCACTTGTTATGCATCTGAGAGCTGGACAATTACTAGGAATGATGGGGAAAAAATCAATGCTTTTGAGTTGTGGTGTTGGAGAAGAGCCCCAAACATCCCCTAGATTGCCTAAAGGGAAAAAGAGAGTACTATTTGGAGGCAAGAATGAGAATAAGGCTTTGCCTAACATACTTTGGTCATGTTGCGAGGAAGGGCTATTCCTTGGAGAGGGACATGATATTTGGAAAGGTGGAGGGTCACTGACGGAGAGGAAGACCCTTGACCAAGTAGATTGACATGGTGACTGCTGCAATGGGCTCTAGTGTGTCAGGAGATATGAGGATGGCACAGGATAGGATAGGGTTCAGATCTTTTGTTCATAGGGTTACTATGAGTTATACTCAACGCAATAGGACCTATTGAGTTTAGACAAATCTGCTGCAAAAGACCTCTGTAAAAGCATTCAAAGGCAAAGATGTCACTT